TGTTGCTGTTGCTGTTGGTGTTGGTGATGCTGACGCTAGTGCTGATGCTAATGCTGATGCTGCTGCTGCTGCTGCTCTTGATGATGTTGATGATGATGAAGATGATGATGATGATGGTGATGATGATGATGATCAAGCTGGTGGTGATGATGCTGATGCTGGTGCTGTTGCTGATGCTGATGATGATGCTGATGATCATGATGCTGATGGTGGTGATGGATGTTGTTGTTGATGAGGGTGAGAGTGACGGTGGCCATGATGCTGATGAACGTGAGAATTACGGTGCTGACAGGGCAGCGGGTGATGGAATCGTGTGTGTTGATGACGTGATGAAACGAATCGATACAGTGAGAACTACTGGTGATGGTTGACGATCTGACGAGGGTGCTGGTCGCGGGGGCGGCGACGGACGTTGGCAGCGGTTGTGTGGCGATCTTACTGTTCTTGCTCTGACTAACGACTATCGCTCGTCTGCTGGCAGCAACAGCTCGTTTGATGCTGTCGGAACTTTTCTATGGAGGAAAATGAACTGAGGGATACTGGGAGCTTTGAAGAGCATTCAGCACTTGCAGTCTTGCGCCTACGACGTCTCGTTGACAACAACTGAACCCTCAGCTTTAACAACCTAAATCCTCCCAGAACGTAGATGGTAGACTCTGCAAACAAGTGGCTCGGGTGCCATTCCAGCGCCCAAGCTGCACACAGCTTTTTAAGGTGGTGCTAAGCACCCTCTCAAGCTCAATGTCCTCGCGTTGCAGGGACTTACCATGTTGACGGCAGTTCACCTTCTGGCTTGGGGGTGGTGTCCCCTTTGTCTTTCCTAAACCCTAAAGCCTAAAGCCTAAACCTTTAACCCGCAAGCCTAAGCTTTAGACGCCCAAGCCCCAGACTCGTGCCCCAAAACCTTATTCCAACTACGAAGACTCCTGATCAGCACCCCACACCCGCCTGTATGAACCACAGCAAGAAACCACTTTAAGGCCCTGAGTCCCCAAAACAATTGTAGTCCGAAACATTATATATATATATATATTATATATATATACACATATATATATTTTTATACTTATATATATATATATACATATATATACATATACATACATAGATATATATATATATACACAGAGATATATAGATAGTAACCTCCCCAAGATCCACGCTTTTTCTTTCGTTCATCGTCTCTTTGTGTCCTTCCCCTGCCTTTCTGTCCATCATATCCTGTGTATGACCGTCTCTCCACTTCAATGCAAGCCTCTACCAAACAAACACGCACACACACACACATGCACACACATACACATACACAAGGTGTGTCAAACTTCGCAGTAATGTGGCAAGAGTGCAGACCGAATGGAAGGATTGAGATTCCATTCTGGCGGGCCAGGATTGGCAATCAATCCTTGAGGGTCATCTCAATACTCATGCCCGGGATTGAGACTGGATTGAAGGATTGAACTTCAATCCTTCAATCCAGTTTCAACCCGGATCCAAGATTCTGCCCCAAGACTCCTGGCAGAATCTTGGATCTTGGATCCGGGCGCAGAGATTGAAATTCAATCCTCAATCCAGCTTCAACCCTGCATCGATTAATTACTGCCTGCCGTGCGGATGACTGCAGTTTGAGCCAGTGCTGTAGATGTGCAGCGTGTGGCAGCTAGACAGGGTGGGTGCAATAATTGTATAGTAGTTTTTCAGTGAGAGTCCAGCAGTATAATAAAGGCATAGTAGTAGTACTGCAGCAGCGAGTCCCGAAATCTCGGAATCAAATTGCGCTCATTCCAAGATATCTACTAAGACAAAACACCATTAACATTGAAGGCTTTATCATTCAACCTACACCTTCCCCCGCAATCGACCAAGGCTGAGGCCGTAGTAGCAGGGTAACTGTACAGCAATAGGTGCAGTAGTATAGTAATAGTAGAGTAGTACTATAGTAGCAAGTAGCAGTACTACAGTAGTACTACTGTACCGTGCATTACGAGTATAGTAGTGTGTATCAGTAGTACAGCGGAAGATCAGCAGTAGTACAATGGTCTCGACACCAAGTCCATTTCCCTTCAAAAATAACTAGAAACACTGAAAATCCTTCATGTAGAAGACGTTTCCTTGATCACCCGGCTTGAAGCTTGCTAGTTAAAAGGAGATGTATGATGGCCTTTTATTACCCTCTTCTCAATGAAGATTGACTATTCAGAACCCAAAACAGAATCCTCAACCAAAACCAGACCACGCATTATTCAAGACAACGGAAAAGGTCACATCCAGATAATAAACCTTGAAAAAACACGCAGTATGGAAGCTCACTCAACAAACCCTTTCGCAACATTCATATTCATAGAGACCAATCATTCTAATATGTATAACTTGCAGACTGCTGGTATGTGGTGCTTGCTGCGCTAACCAGCGAAAGCGAACCAGCGAAAATCTTATTTCGTATGCAAAAAGAAGCCCAAACTAGATCAATCCGGTAGAGTAGCCATCGCATTCGCAGATTTTTAAGTTAATATATAGCACAACTTTGGGACATAGTTTCTCCGTGCCGAAAGCCTCAGTTTCAAGATTTCTCAAGCCACTCTTGTGACACTCCCCCAAAAGATGATAGCAGCGCCTTGATGTAGCAAGTCCGAATAGCAACAGTCGCAAGGCAGATGCCGAAATATTGAATAGAACGTAGCTCATTGTCATGGTACCGATAAAACATGCTTCCGCATGGGTAAATATGTGAGTTCATGGCCAAGTCCCGCTAAACCATTCGGAAATACATCGGCCGAGGAAACAAGGTTTGATGTTTGCTTATGAAGATCATTGACATTCGTAGTCAGGGGACAGGTGTGGATGGCCTGCTTTTCGGAAAAGGGGGAACAGCAGCAGTCAAAACGTAGCAGTCGCTTAGTAGTAGTGCAATAATCGTATGGTAGTTGTTCAGTAGTAATACACTAGTAGAAAAAGGGCATCGTAGTAGTGCTGTAGTAGTACAACACAAATGCCATAGGAAGGCTTAGAACCTCCCAAAATCTCGGAATTAAACGGTGCTCATTCCAAGATAAATGCTAAGACAAAAAGCTTTTAATGTTGAAGTCTTTTTCTTTCATAGAAGTATATGAGAATCAAGGTCATAGGCAAAATTCAACAGTAGACTCTTGTTTCAAGGTTGGTTCATGCCTTTGTGTAAAGGGTCATAGGCGTAATATTACATAATCGCATGTTGCTTTCAGGTGAATCTTTCATGTGATTGCA